CTCCTTATTTTTAAACAGGAGGTCTGTTCCATTTATGACAGAAACTGGATGTTTGACACAACAAATCAATGGAAACTGCTGGTGATAGAATTTTTGTCTTCTCTGTTGCTGAATTTAGTATTACCCTTTCAATGTTTACAATAACATTCCCCATTTTTCAGTGCATCAAGGACAAAGCTGTCAGCCTCCACTTTTAAATCACCAGCAGTCTTGACCCTTCCTTCTTGTGACTTCCTACTTCACAAAGCTGTCTTTGCATACCACTTTGCAAAGAGTGTACAACTGTGAAATTGTAATTTTAAAAAGTGTGAGTACGTAATAAAAATAGCAATTATAATATATTTGCAATAAATTCCCAATCAAGGTTGTTCTGTGTTTCTGTTGCAAGAGAATAAACAAATCTGTGTTGTGAGCATCCCTCAAGACTAGAATCCATGAAATCAATTACTCTGCTAAATAAATTATGTATCTGTGTGGGTCTACAGTCATGCACTTGTTACATTAAGGTAGTAATGAATGGTGCTTGCAAGAATCTGGAAATGTGAAGTTTACAGCCTCGTAGGCCTTCATTCGCATAACATCATAGCTGTCTTTGCCCCTGCGTGAGTGCCTGAGGGCCCCGCTCCTGCCACTCACCACCGGGCCCAGGACGGGGCCTGACAGGCCTCATAAGGACTGCTTGCTGCCCAGGAGGACTCCCCTGCGTGAGTGCCTGAGGGCCCCGCTCCTGCCACTCACCACCTGCACAAATGTCATGAAATGGACATTGTGGTTCGAGCTACTGTGCAGCCATGCAACTGTTTAAAGAATAGTCTCATTCCTTTACATGGAAACCATTTAAAATTGTTTTTTTAAAAAAATGATATTTATTACTTTTTCAGCATTTCCAACACAGCACTACAAACAAACAAAAAAAGAAAAAGAAAGAAAAAAGAGAAAAGAGAAAAAACAATACAATACAAAAAAACGCTACATGGACTAACAAAGCAAACAAAAGCAAACAAAAACAATTTAAAAACACCTCAAACATTTTCAATATCTTATATTTCATTCACTTTAAAATTGTTTTCAATCCTATGCGTACTTATTTGTGACTGAACTCGGTTTGGAATCCTGTTTCAGTTAGCATCAGTAGGAGTGACAACTGTCTCCCGATCAAAATATCCTTTTTGGCCCTTTTAAACTGCAAGATAAAAGTTTGTATGTCATAAAACCGGGGCTTTTTTCAGCCGGAACTCTCCGGAACTAAGTTCTGGCACCTCTCAGGTGGGCACCATTGTCATTATAAGGAAACAAGGGAGGTGTTCATGGTGAGTTCCAGCACCTCTTTTTATAGAAAAATAGCACTGAGTAAAACAATCTTCCACTAAATAGATGTTTAGTTACCATGGAGAGCTTCTTCTAGTTTAATTTCTCTCTATCTTGTTAGTCTTTATAAACACTGTGTTTGCACATTATCATCCTTCCTGCAGAATTGTTATTCTCTTGTTGTGAAAGGGTATTTTGTTGGCTTTATAGCAGAATCACAACTCCAGGCTCTGTACTCACAACAACATATGATTGGTTATATAATGAGAATAAAAACAATAGCATATTAGGTAAAGAATTAACATCACACCAGATGTAGCAGTGTAAACGTTGCACAACCGTTCTGCAAACTTCAGGTTTGCTGTTAGGTGACAGACAGTAGGCAGAACTGCTCAAACACCTCCTTTGCCTCTGTTTTCACTCAAAAGGAAAGCAGTGCCCAACTTGATGATAACAGAATAAAGGATACAAAGGAGTCAAAGCCCACAATAGGAGAAGATGGTAAGGGAACACCTAGCTATTTCAAATCAACTCAAATCTCAGGGCCTGAGGAACTGCACCTGGATCTGGTCTGCGACCACTCACTCCAAAACCTTGCTCAGGAAAGGGAGATTAGCAACCGGCCAGTAGTTAGTTAGGTTTTCCGAATCCAGGGAAACGAGTGCTTTTATCACTGCCTCCTTCAAACAGGCAGGGACCACCCCCTCTTGTAAAAAGACATTGATCACTTCCCTGGTCCAGTCGGCTGTTCCCTCCCTGGTGTTTTTTATCAGCCAAGAGGGGCAAGGGTCTAGAGCGCAACTGGTTGCCCTGACCGATCCGAGCACCTTGTCCACATCCTCGAGACTTACCATCTGAAACTCATCTGACACAACAGGACTAGACTGTGCTCTGGACATCCCGTGAGATTCATCTGCTATAACAGCAGAGTCAAGGTCTTGGTGGATGCAAGCAATTTTATTCTCAAAATGCTTTGCAACAAGTCACAGCAAGCTATCGTTGGTTCTATCACCTTTTAATGTTTAATAGGTTATTGTATTTTAATATTCCGTTGGAAGCTGCCCAGAGTGGCTGGAGAAACCCAGCCAGATGGGTGGGGCATAAACAATATATTATTATTATTATTATTATTATTATTATTATTATTATTACGCCAGCCTGTAAAAGGCCCCATCCAACCCAGAAAAGCTCTGCTGGAAGATATGATGAGGATGCAATGAAGGCAGCAAAATATGCCATCACTGCCACTAGGTAGGCACGATAATGAGCCCTTACCAGTGTTCGGTTGCATTCATTTGGATCTTTCCTTCACTTGCATTCAAGCCATCTCCCAGCTAGTTTCCTCACCCTAATCTCTGGAATATACCAGGGGGGTATACTCCATCTTGGGGGATATGTCCTCATCTTTAAAGGGGGGGGGAGAAGACATAGGTAACTACCAACCATTGAGCTTGATACTGATTCCAGGAAAGGTCCTACAACAGATAATTAAACAGTCAGTCTGTGAGCACTTAGAAAAGGATGCTGTGATTACTAAGACTCAGCATGGGTCTAGTCCAATCCCTTGCAGATAATGAAATAGGAGAAAGACTTCCGCAACATAAACCACCATATGAAACATAAAAACACTGGATAAAAGTGCAAATGAAAGTTGGAATGGATTGACACACATTCATATGTTCCCTACTTGACAGTCAATTCTATAAGGCCAAAACGACATGCTGTATGGAAATGCATGACCACTGCTAGGCCAAATCTTTTGCTGTATCTCCCCCGTAAAGCATCATTGCAAAAAAGCAAAAAAGAAAGGAAAAATGGTACAATCACATTAGCATTTCCCTGCTTCACACATACAAATGGCATGACATCATATTCCATTCAATTCTGGCTGGGTTACTAGGAAGATGCAGGCACAAGCTGCATGTCACCATAATCCTTGAGGCTTAGTGGCATGGCACATGTTTGGGTATCCTGAAGATTATTTAGAGAAGCAAAAGAAGTATGAAGAGACCAAAGAAAATCTATAGTTGTGCTGAAAACATATAGGCTGACCAATGATGCTGCATAAAGCTACAATAGCTCTGATTAATTTTTAACCAATAACACCAGGGAAATCAATAGCACTGCAGTGCTCAATTATTTTCATACACATATTTTCTTGCTTTGTTTAGATTTTCTTGAGTGTTTATTCAAGCTTTTCATAGAAGACAATCCTTCATTGGTCTGGTGAAGTTCTGAGCAGCAGTTAAAAAGTTATTAAGGTTTCCTGCCTCATAAAATTGTGGCAGCAACTACAGTGGTACCTCGGGTTACATACGCTTCGGGTTACATATGCTTCAGGTTACAGACTCTGCTAACCCAGAAATAGTACCTCAGGTTAAGAACTTTGCTTCAGGATGGGAACAGAAATCGTGCTCCGGCAGCGTGGCAGCAGCAGGAGGCCCCATTAGCTAAAGTGGTGCTTCAGGTTAAGAACAGTTTCAGGTTAAGAATGGAACTCCGGAACGAATAAAGTACTTAACCTGAGGTACCACTGTACTGGGAAAATAAGACAAAAGCACCAAGCATTTTTTGAACCCCCCTTTTTTTCACAGAGTGGCAATGTTTACAGTAGGAGCCACCTGGTGGATGCTTTGTACAATGCCTATTCCTTTAGTTCTGGAAGATCACTGGCCTTTTGGGAGCCATGGACAAATGGGGGGCTGTACCCAAAACTCACACATGCATCCCACAGTGAAATGCTTCACAGAAACCCTGTCACACACTGAAACCCCACATTCACAGCCTGCTCCACACCGAAGCTCCACACAAACAATCCATCCCACAAGGTAACACTGAAAACATGGCATGGGTTGACTCACAGGAGGATTCCTCAGAAGCTTCAGAAGACAATACAGGTGTAGCCTGATGTGGAACATCATTGCTGATCTTGGACATTCAATGCTCCTTATCTGGATTTATCCCAGAAAGATGAAGGGAAAGTGGATTCATGGAGGCTGGGTTGTAAGCAAGGACAATATCATTGCTGATCATGGGGCACATCTGTTACGTGTCAGCCTTAGCTTTCAATTTCCTGGCTTTGTGGACTTAGCTAACATGTGGGAACCTTAACTTTGACCTCAAATTGGCAAGGTTTTTGATCATTGAAGCATTGTACTACATCTCTGCCATTGAACAACTTAGATTGCAAAATGGATTTATTTTTTAAGAGAACTGTTGCAACTGCCATGTCAATTTGCAGTGTTCAGCCTTCTACAGGGACCTTTTGATAATTCAGTATTTAAGAACCTTTTACTTTATTATATCTAGCAGATTCAGCCTCAACCACTTTCAAAGTCCTTTTCAAAGTTCAAGCAGTAATTTCCAGCTTTAATACATAGAGTGCCTCTTGGGACATCCTTCTGGAAAATCTCTACTGAGGAACAAGGAAACGGTCTGTTTGTGAATAAGAACACAAGATAAGACCTACTGGATCAGACCAAATACGCAGCTAGTCCTATGCTCTATTTTCCACAGTGGCCAGCTAGAAGCCCTCTGAGAAGCCCAAAACCAGGACATGAAGGCAACAATCCTTTCCTGCCCGTTTCTTAGCAATTGGTGTTTGAAAGCATGGTCCCTGGACGTACTACATGTATAGCCATCATGTCTAGCACTGATATTGGTATCCTTTATGAATTGTTCTAATCTATAAGAGCCAGTGTGGCACAGTGGTTCGCGTGTCAGACTAGGACCTGGGAGACCAGGGTTCAAATCCCCACTTGGCCATGAAGCTCACTGGGTGACCTTGGGTCAGTCACTGCCACTCAGGGTTGTTGTGGGGCTTAAATGAGGAGTGAGGGGAGCCTTGTACAACACATTGAGCTCCTTAGATCAAAAAGGAGGGGTCATAAATGTCATCTCTAACTGACTAACTACATAGTCCTGTTTTAAATCCTCCTAAGTTGGCGGCCATCTCTGCTTCTGATGGCAGTGAATTCCATTAACACATTTTTTGGAAAATACTTTCCACTCTCTTCATTACCCTCCCCTCTCTGCCACCCTCTGCATCCACTAATAAACACAATTTTAAAGGTTTGGTGTCATCTATACATATTGGAGAGCACTGCTCCTTTGATACTTTTGCTCTTTTTAAATGAACACTAACAAATGTATCATATTGCACTATTCCACAATGAGCGCATCTTGCTAAATTTTGAACTGCCATAGCTAGATGTATCTCCTAATTATTTCACAAGAAAGGTTTTTGTGAATACACAGCCAAATCCGGGTCTTTCTTTTACATTGTAAACATTAAGCTGGACATCTTAGAGCAGGCTTCCTTAACCTGGGCCCTCCAGATGTTTTGACACTACAATTCCCATCATCCCTGACCACTGGTCCTGCTAGCTAGGGATCATGGGAGTTGTAGGCCAAAAACATCTGGAGGGCCAAGGTTGAGGAAGTCTGTCTTAGAGGAAAAGGAATTGGAGAAAATGGAGGAGGAGGCTGGGAAGATGAATACTGAGATCCTGAAACACTTGACTGTTATACATTTTCTGGGATATGCTAAGAGTGTGTCATATAGCAACCCATTAGTGACTACAGAGGAGGATCAAGGGGGAAATCAAATGCATATTGTTATAATTAATCAACAAATTATTTTCATTTTGATACCATTTAATCCTTAGAACATGGGTAGGAAACATATGGCTGTATAGATGCTGTCCAGACTCCAATTCCCATCTGCCCCCAGCCCACATCCTCAGGGATGATTGGAGTTGTTTTCCAGCAACACCTGGAGAGCCAAAGGTTCCCCAGAAGCAAAAAAACCTATGTTTTCAACTTTTAAAATAAGTTAAAAATACCACATTCTTGCATAAACTCATCTACCAAAACCCAGCACAACTAAATAAGTTCATTGACTAAAAGAATGCATATTATTCTTGACACTTGTGCTATATACATAGGCTAGAATTCCAAAGCATATGAATTTATTATAAAACCCACAATAGATTACTCCCAATTAGCTATCTCAATATGCAAAGCGTTCATTTTGTTTCCTTTACCAATTACAGTTCAGGGGATAATAACCTCTTCTTTTTCCACCATTCTTTTAAAACACAAACACAAGGGAGTTCCAAACTTGAAATGGCTCGATAACAGAAAAAGAAAAAAAAAGAACGCTATGTATATTCTAACTATCCAGATCTTTGTCTTGCTGAAAATTACATTCAGCAGCTCCTGGAAATTGACTCAATTAATATGACTAGGAAGGCCACTATTTTTGTAAGCTTCATTTGTATGTAAAATACCAAATTTACACTTGTGACTAAATTAGTAACATCAAGTGATGCAGGTTCTAGCCGAGTGATGAAGGCACAGCATGAGGGTTAAAGAGAATTAGAATTCTCATCTATAAAATAGTGTATATGCAGTATCTAAGAAAGGTTAATTGCTTTTCTTTTAGTTAATACAAGGATGCTTTATTTTTAGTAGCGTGTAAAAGATATACGGTACCCAGTTGCTCCCTGGTGTAATTCCATTAGCTGCAATAGATTACTAGCACAGAAGGCAGCTCTTAGTATTTAGTATGATAGCAATCCAAGTGCAGTGCAAGTTCTGATTTTCGATTAGATGGATACGTGAAAAACATAATATAAAATAAATTTGCATTTAAATAGCTGCTCTCTTTGCAAATGGTCTCAAAGTGAATCATAACTAGACATGTACATTTCCAATTAAGAATCTCAGTTTGGCTATTTTAACTTAACGTCTTCTTAACACAAGATCTTTACAGTTTAGTACATTAGTTATACCACAGTCACGTGTCTTCGTTTACTTAAAGCGAATGAAAACGATGCTTTCTAGAAAGTTTACCACAAGGAGAATAAATTATGCAAATTGTTCATATTCTGCAAATACTGTTATAACATGACACCATTCGGTAGCAAATACAGGTTGTTAGAGATAATCCCATCTCAAGATAAAGACTTAGTCATACTGGGTGCGAGTACCAGGACAGATGAGGCATTAATAGGCACTAAACAATGGTGAGAGAGGAGTGGAAATGTCAGTCTTGTTCATTCATAAGTCCATTTCTGCATCAATCTGCATTTTTTTTAAAAAAACGAAAACCATATGGGAAAATGCATTATTTTGGTATTCAGTTTTTCACAAATTATGCATTTTGCATGCATATTGCAGACATTGAGCATATTACCCCTAATTAGGGTTACCATACATCTGGGAATTCCCAGACATGTCCTCTTTTGCGTGTTCTACATACCCATCGGGGGAGGGGTGGATTTTACATTTTAAAGCAAATGTCCTGGATTTTGGTTCAGGCTGGGCTCTGGATCTGGCTCAGGTGTGGGTGGCAAGGGCTCTGGCATGGGTGACCTAGGCTCTGGCTCTGGCACGGGCAACTCAGGCTCAGCGGCGGTGGAGGGGCTCAGCAACTTTTTCTGTCCAGATTTTTTTACCTCTTGAAATATGGCAACCCTACCCCCAATGTTCATTAATGAACTCATTATTGTATGTCTTTTGAGCTGAGAATTGTACTGCAAAATTCAAAGAAATGCGAGACCTGAAAGATAATGTCCTTCAGATCCATTTGTCCAGGAAGTGCAAATTAGGTCAGTTCACTTCAAACTGAGGGACAAACCATCATTAAGCATCCTTACCCTGGAAATCAAGTAATTCCAGAGAGCCAATCCCCTGTCATTGCTTTTTATATAGCTCCAAGGTTTAATTGACACTGAAATGCTGAATGCCTCTGTGTATTGCTGAAGGCGTTAAAGTGATGAAATTCCACTGGAGTATACTAAGTAGTCTCTGAACTCCATGATGGGCACATGAAGAAGGGAGTCGGATGATGACTGCAGGGTTTAGGTCAATTTACATGGGGAGAGGCGGTCTTGAGGTATTGTGGCCCAGAGTCATTTAAGGCTTTATAGGTCAAAACCAGCACTCCGAATTTGGCCTGGAAACTAATTGGCAGTCAGTGTCAGGATAGGTGTTACATGCTTTCCCCAGTGAGCAACCTGGCTGCTGAATTCTGCATCATCTGAAGTTTCCAAGCTGCATTCAGAGGCATTGCAGTGCTCCAACCTAGAAGTTATTGGAGCATAGACAACAGGAGGCATATACACGTTCTGACATAATTGTCTTCAAATCATTCTTGAATTCTGCATCTAACAAAGTCTAGTACTTCTGGTGATGGGTTGCAAATAGCTCACTTCAAAACTGTCCTCATAAATCCAGAGAGGATGTTTGTTACTTAGATAGGTGGACTCATAATTTCAGACTGAAGGCTTATGCATCAACTCAGCATCAACGTGATGCTTGCTAACTACATGAATATTTATTAGTTTTGTTGATGAAAGCAGTATTACTAGGGTCAGTCATTCATACAGTACATTTCATCACCCAATGCGATTGGACCATGCATTACAAGGATGCTCATAACTGCTCATATAATCAATCAAATACTAGTGGTCTGAATACAGATGCATTCAGGTGGTCTTGTGCTCAGAACTTTTTCCAAAATACAGTAGCACAGCAGCAGTGATGGCAAGAGGCCAGAAGTGTGGAGCCATTTGAATTTTTAAAGCCTACTCTTTCATTAGCAGGTGAAGTGTATTTGAATAAAAAAACTAATGTTGAAACAGTCGAGAATGGTTAATTTATCATCTCTTTGTCCATTTAATTATTCTAGCAAGGCCTCAATAGACTTGTTCATTGATGTCCTCATTGCTGGCTATTACACTAGGCACAAGTAACCAACATAGTGCCCTCCGTATAACTCTGATCATCTTTTACTATTGGCAATGCTGGATGGAACTGTTGAGGGTCCATGACATTAGGATGGTGAGCACTAATATGGGGCCTTTCTTCATTTACCATTGATACAGGTGTAGTTACTGCTTGATCGGATGTTTTTAAGAGTGATACTAATTGCTGTTAAGGCAGTACATTATTCCATAATACTAGGTTAATAATGGTAAATTTGTGTGGCAGCATGCCAAAAAATCAGGAGTGGGGGTGGAGGACAGCAACTAGACCCCTATAAATGGTAAACGCAGAAAGACCCACATAAAATCAAGGCAGTATTATGGGATGAGAAGGTAAAGAATACTCAGAAATCCCAGCACCTTTTGATGCAGCTTGAAACTTTCACACTCATTTGTTATAAATAGTAAATAGTCACCAGAGACACCCAGTTTTTGTTTGGCTTGCTATAGAAAGAAAACCTATAACCAATACTTAACAATTTGGGGCCATTTCACACATTACAATTTCTTATTTGCTCATTTGACAGCTCACGCAAGACATCTAGTAATTTGAACATTGTGAAAAGAGAATTTATATAATAATGCAGCAAGGCCTCTGAGCACTCACATATAAACTGTTGTTATGTTACTGCTGCAATTGTTGGAGGACTGTAGCTCAGCACTGAACATTATTTGCATGCAGAAGGCCCCAGATTCATTCATTGGCATCTCCAAATGGGGTGAGAAAGACTCCTCTGGGTAAAGTTGAAGAGCTATTCCATTGTAATCAGTACTGGTATTGATGGACCAATGTCCTGAGTTGGTAAAAAAACACAGATATCTATGTTTGGTTAACAGCTAGCACATTGGTTAACAGCTAGCACTTATATCTGACAAACTGTATCAATATTGTGTCTTCCTCCCACTATCTCCAGTTAGTTTACGGGGATATTGCACGGAATAAATTTAAAGTGCATTGAATGGTTTTGCTGTGGTTAATCCAAAAATCTAAGA